GACACTTTGTCTCTAAGGCATTGAACTATGCCTACAAACATCTGGGACCAGTTCTCAGCTACTTTAAACTTCCTTTGTGGCCCTGGGCCAAGCCACTCATATACACTGACTTCTGGCATCTAAACCAGTGATAGCACTAGTTTTGTGCCTTGTATCTTTAGTGTTGGGTATGTAAATACAGGGGGTAGCAATGGCCTCTGCTGTCTGCTCTGCACAGGTAATTGAGAGGGCTGGTACCTGAAGTCTTGGGGTGCTTCTGTAATCCATGTAAGTGAGACTATAAATCAGCTCTAAAGACTCATCATTTGACTTGAAAACACTGAGTTGTTCTTTCAGTGGCTTGGCCTTTGCTCTAACCCACTGCTTCAGATGATTCTGTGAGTAAAGTTACTACGGTCAGGAAGAAATAAATGGAAAAGCAAGAGGACAAATATGGTCTTGTTTAAAGGAAATACTGGGTTTTATCGTGACCTAAAGCAATGTGCTTTATTCAGCAGTTTTTACAAACAGGAAGCTTTATTTAAAAGGCTCCAGCACTTGCTGAATCATGGAGCAAGAGAAAGCTGAGAGAAGAATTAGCTTAAACGGAGCAGGTCTTGCAATTTTCAGAGCTTTTCTTACATCCTTAATGTTCCGTCTCAATTGCCTCAAACAAATACCTGGTTAGAACACTGCTGTGGTGCAGCAAAAGGGAGGTGAAATCCAGGTAATTATTTGAGGAGTTTGCTTTTGTAACAGAGACTACTAATGTAAAAACAACCCCCTCCTTGATGTGAAGGGGTTTGGGGGGATTGGAGGAGAAAGGAAAGCAAATAGTGGTGGTAGTGGAATTGGCTGCAGCCATTCGCTGAGCTTTATTGGAGATTTGTATTTACAGCATTCTCCTTCCTGTGCTGGGATCTGTTGTTCTGTTTTAATAAGAAACAGCCCCAAAATCACACTGTACAAAGATAGTACTTGGCTTTGTACTCTGCTTCTCTCAGTGCTGTATTTCCGCTTTAGAGATGGGAAAACTGAGGGCTTTTCCCAAGGCTACGCAGCACAGCGGGGAGTAAAGCCCTTGTGATTCCAGAGTAGTCATCTATGCCCTGGCTTGCCAGGCTCGAAGAGTATCACACAGTGATCTGGTGTTAAGATTTCCTGGCATTTTGTTCTGTCTTGTCTATTTTTGCTGAAGGCAAAGTTCATAGTGCCCTGTTCTGAATTACTTCCCCTCTGCCTTGTAAAATCAGGGCAGCAGGTCTCTAAGTAGGTATTGTTAACATGAACTGATTCAGGCTTTGCCACTGCATGATCTCACAGCACCATAAATAAGTGCTCATCTCTTTCTCATTTAATTTCTCATCTGCAAGCCATTGGAGGTAATATATTCTAGGTGGAGATGCAGCCCCTGGCTTTGATGTGAGCATCTGTGCCTTAGCAGGAGGTTAGTAGCTTGAAGGGGAAACCCCTCTGAAGGGGATATAGCCTGCCCAGCTGCTGCAGACTCCTCATTTCCCTGCAGGATTTCTGTGTCTCCATAAAAGCAGCTTGCTTGATTCTGAATGCATCATTTTTACTGTTCTCTGTGTTGTGAAATGCACTCACGCTGGGATGCTTCATCAGGGACTGTAGCGATAGGAAGAGGGATGATGGGTTTAGACTTAAAACAGGAGAGATTCAGATTGGATCTAAGGGAGAAGCTCTTCCCTGTGAGGGTGCTGAGGCGCTGGCACAGGGTGCCCAGAGAAGCTGTGGCTGCCCCATCCCTGGCAGTGTTCAAGGCCAGGTTGGGCACAGGGGCTTGGAGCAACCTGCTCTAGTGGAAGGTGTCCCTGCCCGGGGCAGGGGTTGGAGCTGGATGAGCTTTAAGGTCCCTTCAACCCAAACCAGTCTGGGATTCTATGATTCTATGAGTTACACACTATTCCCATAAGAGCTCCCAAAGTGGGGCTGGATGAACAGAGCTTCACGTACCCATGAGCCTGACATGTCAAAGTCTTGCTGAGTTGTTCCTGTTGACTTAAACCTCTCTAAATTTCCTGTCTGGCCTGAAAAGACCTCACAAACTCCTTGCTTCAAAAGATGTAATTTTAATCCCAGTGTACTCACCTCCTCCTCAGAGTGGTCTGAGGGGGGTTTCTTAATAGTATCTTAGATTAGAGCCTGGGCTTTGTTTCCAGTAGTTCTGCCACAGTTCCTACAGAGATGTCATTCAAATCAGGTGCACCAGGCACTGCAAATAGCGCTCTGAGGGAGCTGCGGTGTCTTTCAGAAGAGACATTCCAGTGTTTTTCCAACTCCTAGTTTCTGCAGACCAAAGCAGAGTTATTTTCTGGTGTTTAGATCTAACTTGGGATCTTCTTAGTCTGTCACTTTAATGTTGTGCATTGCATAAATAAAATTGGGATGGAAGCTTTGGTTTCTGTTAACTCAGGAGACTGTGGCCTTCCTGGCAGAGCTGGGGAGGAAGAGGAGGGGAGAGACTGACATCCTTCAGTGCAGTCCTCATCTAAATATAAATAGTTCTCTTCTTGGATCCGTTCAGTCTGAACTTCTGGGTCATTTGACCTTTCTTTGATAAAAGCTTTCTTTATTTGAAAGAATAAAAGGGCAAAGGGGAGGAAAGGACACAGCAGATTGTTATGTTTTAGTTAATATCTTAAAATCCTGCCTGTTGGTTTCCACAGTGCCCGGCGCTCACTGTGGAACCAGTTCCATCCTGGGCTCCACCTTTTCTCCTTCTCCGAGTGCCTTGAGTGAACTTTGCCTTTTAGTCTAAAGCATTAACCTGAAAATTTCTCAGGAAGTTTATGGAAGTGTGTTCTTTATGGAAGTGCGTTTTCCCACAGGGAGCCCGTGCTCTGAGGGTTTGGATACCCTGTGCTCCAGTCCTCAGCTCTGCTGCTGGAGCAAATGACTTGGTTTACGCCCGTTGCACCACTAACTTAGGTTTTCCTTCATAACTTCAGCTGAAAGAAATACTTGTATTAAATGCTGCTGTTTTTTCGTATGTGCACCCTGGAGCTTTTTGAGCTCAGCATCAAAACACAGCCCTGTTTAAGATGTAAAACCACTGAACTCTGGCTTTGGTCTCAGGTTAGCAGCTTGTGCGAGGGGATGTGCAGGTGCAGCATTCAGAACTGCTCCAGACTACACACAAGTCCTTCTGGCACTAGTTTTAACCATTAATCACCACTTAAATCCAGCAATAAATTATTTGGGCAACCACACTGCATGAACCCACTGCCAAGAATAAACCAGAGCCTGAGAATTACTCAGATCCCCTTCATACCTCAGGACTGTTGCTGCTGGATGGGGAAGGGCTCCTCCTGGACTCAGATTGGTTTTTTGGTGTCTCAGGTGTCTTCGGGATGTAGTTGAAGCCATCATCCTGCAAATGATGTTAGTAGCAGCTGGAATGCATTGCATGCATGTATTGGTTTGCTGTTTGCTTCTGAAGTGAGTGGGGGTGTATGGGAATGCTGCTGGATAAGCAGCCTGATCTGTTGCAAATTGGATTTTGTGGCTCACTTGCCTGTCCTCGTGGATAAAGTTTCCCCTCAGCTGCCTCTCCTCTAGTGGAGCTCGTGTCTCTCTCAGGACTGCAAAGCCTTTTATAATGCTCTGCTGGATCAGGAGTCACTCGGGAGGGGTTGAGACTTTCCATTTCAGAGTGTGCTTCTGAATCCCACCTGAAACATGCTTAGTTTTACCCCTGAATTTCCACTTGTTTTGCATGAGATTCCTGTTGGTTTGGTGCTTTTCCTGCTGCTTTTGCACACTGTGATGTAGTGTTTTTTCTGGCTGGGAGACCTCTAGTAATGACTGTTAGGAAACCCACTTACTGCTTGGGCTGCCTCTGTATCCTACAATGAGTCGTAGCAGTTACACGCTGGGGAGGAAACGAAATGATCAGGAAAGGCCCAATTCATAAAGAGCAACAGTTGATTTTTATTTTAAACCAATTAAATGGGGGATTAGAGCTTGCTGGTAAGTTCTACCCCTAGTTAAAGGAAACAGTGCAGGCAAATGTACTGTATTAGCACAAGCATGATTGTCTAGGCTTATAATAAATCCTGTATAATTCCTGACAGCATTAAGTTTAACACAGGCCAGCATACAGGGAAGGTGGGTTGACAGAGAAGGTGAATGGTTTCAATCTGCTTATAAGAACATCTTGATGTGTGTTCACGTGCCCTTTCTGGAAGAGGGTGGTAGCACTGTGAGGGGTGGCAGTAGAAACCCAACTCCTTTAACAGCAAGCTCAAGAGCAGTGCCAGCTCCTTCCACGTGTGTTTCTCCATTGGTTTAAATAGAACATCTTGCAGGGGTTAGAGGGAAGATTAATCCTCTACAGGGTTAATCCTTAAATCCTTGGTGTTCAACTTCTGAACAAGGGAGGGAAGTGAACAATATCCTCAGACCTCAGAGACCACCTACTCTTTCATATTGACTGCAGCAGCTGTCAGATGGAAGTGATTTTTGGACAGTAAGAAGTCAGCATGGAATCACACTGGTGACCCAGAGCAGGATTTGTACCCCAAGGTCTTTGACTTCCACCCCTAGTGACTCCTGACGTGAAGGGAAGAGGGTTTCCCAGACCCATCAGAGTTCTTCCGAGGGGTGTGAATTAGCAGTGGGTTGATGGTTTATTCTCTCTTGTGGTTAACTTTAATAGACACATGTTCCTCTGAAGATGATTTTTGGCAAGCACATGTATGGCTGAAAGATGATCCAGTAGGAGAACATCCCTGATTTAAAGCCAGGATGCTCTGATGAAGCACAGAGTAGTGACTTCTTGTACCAGTTGTGTGCTTTGTGCCACTAACCCCTCTGCTTGACACAGTGCTCTCTGTGGTCTGTTCTCTGTATTACTGCTCTTAACCACAGCTGTCCAGCCACTGGTTTGCTTCCAGATAACCAACTTGGTGTGAAAACTCTGCTCAAACTTGTCCTTGCCAGCTGTCCATCCATTTGGTGTATGCCTAAGTGTTCCCTGTACGTTTTCTGTCTTGCAGCATCTGGAGAGGGCCAAATGTGAACTGCGTTGACAGTACTGGATACACTCCACTGCACCATGCTGCTTTGAATGGTCATAAGTGAGTCATCTTAAAATGCCTTTGATTTAAGGGATACTATGTGCTTTACAAGCTATGGTTTCTGTGTAATTCATTCACCTAATGAATGCAATTCATTCTAATGCTGTTCCCACTAAAAATGTGGCAGTGGTGCAGCACTACACCATCTTGAGGACAAGAAGTGAAGAACATCAGTGCAGTGAAGCCACAGAGGCACTGGCTGCTGCACAATATGATCATACATCTCTTAAAATTGGGCAAAACACTGAAGTTTTCAACCACCCTTTTATTTACAGAAAATTTGGATAAGGTAAAGCAACATATTAAAGGTGGCTTCTCCAGTAACAGTCCTCTGCAGTCTGTCTGGTGTCCAATGTGTTGCTGTGCCTGCACCACTTAAAGTTTGCTTTCAAGCATATGACATTTAAGTAACTCCAGTCTTCAGCGTGGTAGATCTTGTGGTGTTTGTTGCTGCTTAAGATATTGGGAAATTGAATAGAATTAAAACCTTTGTCTTCATTGTGCTGGTGCAATTCACTTTTCACCAGAGTGGCTTGTGGATGACCTCAGTCCCTGTTCAGCTCCATTAGTATGAAGGTAACACAGATCTGCCCTGAGCTCATCTCAGCAGTCTTTCATTTTCCTTGGGCAGCATTTAATAGGAATGCTTTAAAATCACATTTCAAGAGCATCTCTGAACTACTCCTGTTCGGATTAACCTTTTGTTCAACACTTGCTGCAGAAGCTGGGGAACAAGGAGTGAGTATCTTATGGGCTGAAGTTTCCTTCTCTTGCAGGGATGTTGTGGAAGTTCTGCTGCGGAACGACGCACTGACCAACGTAGCAGACTGCAAAGGCTGTTACCCTCTTCACCTGGCTGCTTGGAAAGGAGATGCAGACATAGTGAAGCTCCTCATCCACCAAGGACCTTCGCATACCAAAGTGAATGAGCAGGTCTGTGTGGTTTACTCTAATATATTATTGAATTGCTTCCCTCAGATGGAGAGAGACTACTTCAGCTGACTCCCGGCCCTTCCCAAAGGAGTAGTAATGGTTATAAAGTCCTACTTGCTAATGGGATAAGAAGGGCACTGCCTAAAGCAATACCTCCAGTTCTGAGTTAGTGATTGAATGAGGAAGGAATATAAGTTTATAAAGAGATAGAGAAGTATGAGAACCACTCAGCACCTAGGAATTGGTCTCCTGCTTTCATACTGGGCTTCTGAAACTAACTCACATTTCCTTTCAGTCGCTGGATAGCAAAGAAGGTTTCAGTTCTTTCAAAGGATACATTGGCTCCCTTCTTTGGGAACTAATCAAAGCAGCTTTGTTTAGTCTTTGTTTGGCCATGCTCTCTTAGCTACTCTCCTGGCTTGTCTCTAGCACTTGCTCCACTGAACTAATTTGTAAATTGTAAGATAACTGTAACCCTACTTGCCCCCAGATAAGTCCCTAGCTTAATCTTAAGGAATTGTGTCTCAATCAGGCAAGAAAAACAATCTGGTGGATTTCTTCCCTTTGTCAAGGTGATAGTTTTTTGTCTTGGATGCAGAGAGATTTATTGGTATGAGACAGCTATTCTGTACAGTGGTTGCTGTGTCCATGTTGGGGAGCTGGCTCCATGTAACTTCCCTGTGGAAGTCAGCAGTATCTTTCAGTAGGGAACTTCTGGAAAGCTACTGCTGGAAGACCCAAATATTTCTCTCGTTGAAGAGTTTTAGATAGGGGACTGGTTTACTGAGTGAGGCCAACTGAGCAGTGTTACTGAGCCACTTATGGCTGAGGGAGCTTGGGCAGACATGCAGCAACACATCCAAATCAGGTGGTTAAAGCTACCATAGCCCTTGATTGTCCTGTCTCTGTGGCAGGAATATCTAATGTCCCTGTGAATCAACTCCTAAACCCCTCAGGTTTTCATTCAGGAGTAGAGGAGTAAACCCAAATAAGTTTGTCTGCATTAGTAGTACAAGGCTAAACATGTTCAGAAGTTAATTCCCAAGTAGGTCAGATCCTCAGGGCTCAAACTTAGCAAAATCTGTCAAAGTCCAGATGAGCAGCTGGGAACTGTGATTTTTGCTATTTGATTTTGATGTAAGGTGGGTACTTTTCAGACATTGAGGAGCAAAAACTCCCCTTGGAGTTGGGTTTAGGAGTCCTAATCCTGCTTCCAGCCACACTTGGTGGCAACCAAAGAGCCATGCTTAAGTTTTCTTTAGTTCTGTTCCTCAGTATAAGGTGGCTAACTTGATGCATTGGGCTGCTCCAGGGCTAAATGGTTGCTTCAGAAGCATCACAAACTGAGTAATACAGTGGTAATGCTATTCACTACCATTCCTCTATTGAGCACAAATAACTAAGGGTGTGTGTTTAATGTCTTTGTGGATAGGTTTCCACTTTGGAGCTGTGGTTCATAATGTCTTCAGGTACAGCTGCAGGCATTCAGTCTGTTTAAATAGATTTGAGATGTGTAGTTAGTTGTTAGTAATCCATCTGATAAGAACTGACTGAGGGCCCTGAGTGTAAACTCTTCTGCTCTGAATAGAACAGGTATAAGGGAAACCTTTGCAAAAGATTAAAAGCTGTAGTGGTGTAATCCTTCCAGGTAATGTTTCATTAATGTCTGTTTAGTCGGACCCTTTCTAAATGAGAAAAGTCAGCTGAGTAGCCCGTGCTGCTTGTGTTTGGAGGCTTGTCAATGAAATGCACAGTGGTTCAAGTTACAGGAATCAGCAGCTGGAATGGCTTCTGCTGGTAATAGCTTTGACTGGAACAAGATGCTGTGTTCTGTCATTTCCACCCCTTGGGAGTCACCCATTGCTTTGTTGCTTTATCTCACCCATTTCATTATCACATTTTTTGTTTTCTTTTTCCTCTTCCTTTTTGTAGAATGCTCTTGAGATCAAAGAACTCAAAAAGTACGGCCCCTTTGACCCATATATCAATGCCAAGGTGTGTACTTTGCTGTCAGTATTTCACTACATCATTACTCCAAGCTGCACTTGTGTGCTTCCAGGTGCAGTGTCATCCAGTTGCAGTTAATACCTGTTCACTTTGCAGCAGCTTGGGAAAAATATGACCATTTATTTACTGTGGGTTTCTCTCTTCAAAGCAGTTATAGAAACATAATTTAAGGGAAGCTTTTCCTTACTTTTCCTGGGGGCTCCTTCAGTGCTTAGCCTTGTAGGACTCACGGTGATGGTCAGTTTGCTTGATTGGGCTGGATGACTTCCAAAAGGTAATGTTACTTCCATTAAAAATGCTTTAGGTTTTGTTTCTTGTGCTAATGTTGCTGATAAATGCAAAGAGAAGGAATTTTTCCTGCTTAAACATGGATGTGTTTTCTCTGTGGGCTGTTTGGAGTGGATTTTCTTGCCTTTCCTCCTACAAAATGCTGTATTTGTTGTCTGAATGGACAGTTAACTCTGGTGGTGGGGAGAAGGGAAGGCAGTAATGTTCATGCCTCCCTTCCCAAGTCCTTCATGTCCTGCTTATTGCATCAGTCTCTCTTTTTTGAATGTGAAGTCTGTTGTGTTGTCTGACCCTTCAGCCCTGGTCTTCTGTTCCTGTTTTCTTGCCTATTTTGCTCCTCTTGCTTTTAGTTGTTCTTGAGCTACACAAAGGCATGACATCAGCACTTCGATGCACTGAGGCTGAGCAGTTGAGGAAGCAGATAAGAAAGTTCCTGGTGGTGTCTTCTCAGACACCATTTTTCATTGTTATTTATAGTGAAGCTGCAGGACAGTGATGGCAGAAGAGTCGCTGATTTATCATGAGGTACTTCTGCTGTTAAGCCACCACCTCATGGTTGCTTCCAGCTGGTTATTTGGGATCCAGCCATCCATGGCAGATTAAACTCTCCAAGTTTAGTTAGCACTTTCACTCTGCTCTATCTGCTGTGCCTTGAAAACACACATCAAAGTTCCTGAGCTTGCTCACCACTGGGAATTGGGTTTGGGTTTGCAGACTTGTGTTTCAGGATACTCCAGTGCATACATCTTAAGCACAAATATATCTACATTCACATCAGTGATTTCTACATAAATCCAGATGGGAATTTTTACAACAATGAATGTCTGCTGTGGAAGCATCACAGTTGAGCAGTTCAGTTGCCTCAGAGGAACTTTCTAAATCATTGTCAGTAACAGAGTAAAATCTTCCACACTTCAGCACTGAAATGTTGAATGAATGAAACTCAAGGCAAGCTCACTTTCTTGTGGAGTTCTTACTGTGTATTCTAATTTGGGGTTTATATTTTTGACAAGTGCCTTATTTTAAAGTTCCAGTTCACTTTCAGAGATGACTGTGGTGCTTTTGAGAACAAGGCAATGTGGTTTTGATGTCTGTGCCTTGGTTTTAAGGATAGAGATGATTTATACACAATGTGTTAGATTCATCATAACTTCTGACCAGCTTCTCATGAGGTTCTCATCACGGTTGATGAAGAGCATGTGGAATCTTACCTGTCCTGCCAACCTTGATGTTTTCTCGATAGCCTGCCTGCAGGTGGGAGAACCACAGTAAGTCCAGGTGTAAGGTGTGAGTGTTGTTCTTTAGTTGGTGCTTCCAGCTTCTCAGCGCCGATGCAGGATGGGGTGTCATTCAGGAACAATTGAAGAGAGATGTTTTATCTTTCCAAACATTTTGGGATATTTAGGAGATGGGGGAAGCATTTATGTAAGGCTGGACTACAATCTTATCCTGTTGAGGAAGAGATAAGAAAGCCAGAAGCTTCTTGCTCTCCTAAGAGCTAAAGCAATATTTAAGCTTCTTTTAATGTCCCTTTTAAACATCTTAGTTCAACAGGAGGCCCCTACAATATGTCTGTTAGAAGACTTCTGAAAAGCAAATGATGGAAGCAAAGGAGATGGAGCAGCAGCTTTGCTTCAGTACCTCCTGCTATCTTGAATTTAGTTCTTTAATGTGTATGAAGGAACCAACCGTTTGAGCAGAACCAGCGTAGAAGAAGCTGTCACACAGCTCAGCTTTGTGCACTGCACAAACTACCTTTGTCTTTTTTAACTGGAAGCAAATGAATCCTGCAGATTTGGTCTAAGGTGCTATAAAGGAAGGAGGCCTATTTCATCCTTCCTCTGCTCCTGGCAGTGCTGTGTGGGATACCTCTGGAAATCACATGCTGCAAAGGTTGGGAAGGAGATGGTACAAGTGACCAGGCAGCTTCAGCCAACTCTTCTGGCCAGTTTTGTGCCCAAGGTGGTGATGTCCTTTGGGTGTCACCTCCTGGTGAAGTTTGGATTTTGCTTAATGTTTTTTTCTCTTTTATGCCAGTGAGACATGGCTATTCTGTGCTCTAGGAAGATGTGTCACTGGAGCAGCAAAACAGGTTTTTAATAGGGCAAGGCTCTGTTAGACATGTATACACTGACAAGAGTCCTCCAAAGGAATCTTAGAAATAGCCTGGATGGGACCGAAGAGTCATATGGCCTCTTTCCCCAGCCCTGAGGCAGGATCATATCTACCTAAACCATTGCTGACCAGTGTTTGTGTAGAAGCTTCTTAAAAGCCTTGGAGAGGGGCATCTTTATGGTCTCCCTTTGCAGTTTATTCAACCATTTAAACCTTTGCAGGTCAGAAAGGTAGAAACCTTCCCTTTATTGAAACCCAGTCACCCCTTCTTCAGTCAAACCCCTCTTACGGTTTGTTAGGAACAGGGGTGCAGACAGATACACTTTAAGGGGTTATAGATTCTCCCTATTAGCATCTGATGAAGAGCGTAAGGCCTATAGTATGTGGTATATAGTTACCAGGGCTTGAGTAATTTGATGGAGCCCATATGAAAGCAGAGGCATTCCT